TAAATTTAGTTCCTTCTTTCTCTTAACTTCTTTTATTTGAAGTTAGTTCTGCCATATGGTGGTTCTCAAGATGTTTTGTTTATGAATGGTAGAACCCTCTCTTTCAGATGAAATCTTTTGTGTAATCCTAATACAGGAAACATAGTATGGTACCACCCTGGGGATTGTTTCCAGCCCCCTCTTTCTCTAGAGTTCCCCAGGCACATCTGAGCACCCCAGGCCATGAGGAACCTGGTTTGTAATAGGATACCAGGAATATAGGGTTAGGACGGATGCCTGTTTACTGTCTGGCTGGCTCAGCCACCAAGACTTTGCTGGTGGTTGTTGCAATAGAGTCTCACTATGGAGCCCAGGTTGTATTTGAATTTGTGATAGTCCTGCCTCAGTTTTGTAGTATTGAGATAACTGGCATGTACCATCATGCCTGCCCCACCAAGATGTTTTTGGTTACTTTGTTTCCCTAAACTGGAGTTTACTCCTGTTAGAAATGCTGTCTGAACCAGCTTCTCTCTGAGGGCATTCTTGCCATAACAGCAGTATTGAGTTAGGAAGAGCTGAGGTAGTGAGTGAAATGGTGTGGTGACCCAGTAGTGAGAACAAGCCTGGCTGAAGAAGTTTCATCCCAGCCTAGCATGAATAACCTTCACTTATTACAAATGAAAGTTCTAGAAACAAAACTGATGCATGAGCACAGTTGCCTCTGAGGAATGTCTCCAAAGATTTCAATAAGGCATCTGTAAACCCTCTGATATAGAAGAAATTTGTGGAGAAAGGGATTTAAACCAGTTGTAGGTTGTTTACTGTTCACTATAGTTGAACTTGCTGTGAGTGGCTAACAATAAGTAAAGCATTTTGTTCTTTAATAGAGAAAATTATGTCCCACCACTTTTTGGTTATTGTTGTTGGATGAGGAATGCATCTGAGACCTCATTCAAGAATCTGCAGCTAGTTAACACATTTGTTCAGAGAACGGAGATGGTGAGGCCAGGATCAGGGTTCAGCCACCATCTAGGCCTATTAGCTGGGTGGGGCTCTGTGGCCAGACTGTACTTTTAACCCTGACCAGTTGCTTCTCATGTCTTCCATGGGTCAGTCTCAAGGAGGGGTTACAGAGAGCATGGAAAGCCAGCCAATCTCAGCTTTTCCTTCTGAGACCATGGAGAGCCTTTGTCCTGATAGAGAAGAGCTTGACCATCTCATCTCTGTGTTTGGGGAACCCTGCCCACATCTTTAACATCTGAATACTTTATGCAAACCACTGTCTGTGGGTTTCATCAGTCTGAAGGCAAAACTTGACCTTTGAGTTAGAACAGAGCCTGCCTAATTCAGTGATATATACTCCATGGGTCTTGGTGTGAACAGGGGGAGCTGAGAGACAGCTGACACTAAGAATATTGTTGCTGCGTTCACTTCATTGTTTTTTTTGTCATTCCAGTTTCTTAATTTGTTAAATACCATTTTACAATTAAAATTTGAAACACTGGGTTTTTATCTGATAACACACAGGAATTTTATGAACATTGTTTGGGGGGATAAAAGTATGATTGCAGGGCTCAAATTCCCTTGAAAAATGGTTTTATGTGACTGGATTTTTAATGCTAAATATGGCAGTTTCTTCATGCCTTAGCATAAACTCAGTAAGGAATATATGGGGTCTCAGCAGGATTTCTTCTTTCCCTGAGAAACAACTGGATTCAGTTATGTATGTTATATTATTTTTTCTGTTAAAAATAAGACAAGTAGTCTTTGATGAGAAAAATATTGGTTTCTGTTGTACAAAATGCAAACATTACAGAATTCTAAAGCTTACCCATCTGAGTCTCTGTACCAGCTTCCCCCAACTAGAATCATCTTCCAGTCAGTCCTCTACCACTTGTAAAACTGACCACACAAATTGAGATTTCAAAATGTAATTTTTTTCATGGAATTAATTAGTTCTGGAGTACTGTCTTCCAAAGTGTTTAACTATGAATATTTTATTCAAAATGAAAAGTGGAATTCTAGCATTGGGGCTGGAGTTATGCATCCTGGCCATCACTTGGAAACAACTCTGCTCCTTCTCTCCTTACCCACCAAGACTCTGGGGTTCCTCCCCAGAGGGAAGATCCTTTCTGCAGGGACCTACCACAGGCCCCTAAACCCCAACAGTGGTAGAGTGGCATTGAGGTTGGCATTTACCAGCTTGACTAGCTGTAGTAAATGGGATTTCTGTTGTGATATTTGCTCCCCATCACTGACTTTTGGTGTTTGGGCATTGTTGTCGTTAAACTGTAGTTAGTTACATACTTAAAAGCTTACCACAGCCAACCAGTGCCTTTTCTGTCTTGAATTAGACTTTTGCATTGAACTCAGCCTCTGATTTTGTTCCAGTGCCACACTACTTTTTAGTCTGTGTCAGGCAGTTTTTCTCCTCAGGAACTTGAGTTTAAGTCTCTAATGATAGTATTTGTTCCTGTCAGGTTAGACATTCATGTTTATGGACCTTGTAGGAATGAGCTGTTTTTCCTTTTATAGCCCATTCTCACCCCCATTCTGGGAGACCGAGTTCTGTCTATTTTCTTTTCCCCACTAAATAGTAAAAAGCAAGACTGCATTATTTTATACTGTCAACAATCCTGGGGGTATTTCTTAAATTTTGAACTGACTAGTATAACTCAGAGCTCTACAAAAAGAAAAAACAGCCTTGCCTAAATGTTTATTGTGTGGCACTACAAGTGAGCCTTTTCAGTTCTAAAAGCTGTTCATGTATTCTGCAAGCAAGTGGTGAATACTGGCTGTGTAGAGTTATTTGGATAAACCTTGAGGAGGTAAGAGAGATCAGATCTTTCACCTGGACCTACTCCTTCACCATGCACATCCTGTTAGTTGAGGCTGTTGTTATTTCTACACAATGAACAACTCTTACTTCACCTGTACCCATGGCTTCAAGTTACCGCTTATGTGCTGGTAAGTTTTCAAACTAAACTACCTATTCTAAACTCTTCTCTAAGTTCTAGACCAGATAGATGCCTACTGTAATTTCCCATGCTTTCTTGACTTAGGAAGGTCCTTAAACTTAAGAAAAAGAAAATAAAAAGCTTCTACTGAGCAAATTTCCTTCTTTCCCCTCACCCTCACCTTATTTTTCTGGATTTATTATTGTGTTCAGAACATTAACATCTGTTTACATATGTATTTATCAGTTGATTTCTTACTAAGAACTTGTTTTTTCTTAGGTGATATTCCAGATTTGTGGGGTGCATATCTGTGCATCACAGGGAAAACACACATTAAAGGTTCTGTCTTAATGGAGCTAGTATTTGGACAAACCATTAACTTGTGAGGAACTTCCCATATATGTGTCTACCTGTCTAGATAGCTCCTTATTTCCAGCTCACCTTACTGTATAGATGGCCGTCAGGCAATGGTGGCAGCCTCAGAGGAGGATAAAGCAGCTAAGAACAGATTCTAGAGACTTGGACAGCCTATGCTCTTTCAGCTAGAGAGGGCTCAGGGAAGGAGGTGACATTTGAATGAAAAGATGGGACAATGTGTATGAATCTGTGGATTTTGAGAAGTCTGACTCATGCATTTTTGATATTTTTTGATATTTCATTTTTATTTAATATGTATGAGTGTATTGCCTGGGTGTATAAGTGTACCCATGTCATGCAATGCCTGAGGAGGTCAGAAGAGGACTTCAGATTTCCTGGAATTGGAGTTACGGATGGTTGTTAGTCACCATGTGAGTGCTGGTAATCAGACCCGGGTCCTCTGTAAGAACAGCCAATACTCTTAATGGCTGAGCCATCTCTCCGGCCCCACACATCTGAGTTTTGAAGTCTACCTTCACTTTTGTTTGTCTTCCCCTGTCCAAGTCTGAGTTAGGACCATTTTTGTAATGTCTAATGGCAAAGTTCATTAATGGCTGAGAGATGGATGGGTGGACTTGACAAGGGAGCCAGAGAAGTATATAATGACTACTGAATGTAGGTGTGACAGCAGGGTGCCCAGCTTGTGCACAGGCTCTTTGTTATTACATGAGGAGTGTAGGAAGGTATGACAGAGAGCTGGGTGAGCTCAGAGGAGGTCTAGGAAGCGTATACACACAAGACAAGTGCAGAGCAGGGTAGAGGAAGCCACACTAAAGCGAGTCTTAAGCAGAGTGCCACATCTGGAGTTTGGGCAGATGTAAAGTCAAAGAGGTCATGGAAGCAGATGACCTGGACCCTCAAAACTGAGATTTGGAGAAGACAGTGTTACATTTTGTGTTGAAGCAGTGGAGAACTTGTGATAAGGGCAGCATTCAATAAAGCTCAGGAGTAAAGAAGTCGGGGGAAAGGTGAGTTACTGGAGGACAAATTCCACCTCCTTGACTTTGAATGCTGACCTTGGGAAAGAAAAACAGGGCAAAGAACCATGATTTCCCCCGTTTACCTCTCCCTAGCTGCCTCCCTGGGAGCCTTCCCTCACCACATTTCTTTTACCCTGTGTCCTTCTTTTAGTGTAAGGACAGTTGCTGCAGGATCTGTGTTCTGGGAGCTGTCACAGAAACCTCTGCTGTCTTACACATCCTGGGAAAGAACACTGCTGCATTATGCTACTGAGCAGGGACTTGGCCAGGAGGCCTAAACACTTGAGTAGGAAAAGTTGGCTCTTGTCTTCACTCTTGACCCAAGACAGAGGTGGAGATATCTTGAGGGAGTGGTGGGAAAGACCTGCTGTGGCTTCATAATGTGAAGGAATGTGGATTCAGGAGTGAGGGTGTTACCCATGGTCTGGGTGTGCATAGGAATGAAGTGAATCTGGCAAAGGGTTTCCCCAGAAAGTTCTGGCATCTTCCATGTGCATATTGGGTATTACTTTGATTTTAATTTGCTTGCCTATGTTTTTCTTTAATTTGACACAGAAACAGACCTAGTTTTGTATGGGAGACTGTAAATACACTGCTTCATTGGTAAACATTCTGTTATGTATAATTGTTTTTATTTTTAATACTTTATCTTTTCTTTATGGCACAGATATTCCTACTTAGACTGGCAGAGTTGTTCTAGGAGATCTCAGAGGTAAGTATTCATTTCATTGTGTCATTGTTGTCTTCTTTGTTTTTGTCTTTGTCTTCGTTTTTTTAAGACAGGATCTCGCTATAGCCACAGCTGGCCTTGCTATGTAGACCAGGCTGGCCTCAGTCTCACAGAGGCCAGTCTGCCTCTGTTTCCCCAGTGCTGGGATTAAAGGTGTGAGCCACCACACCCAGCTTTCATTGTGTCCTTTTAAAAGGGACAGCAGATTTGCCTTGTTTTCCTCGTGGTGACCTATTGTTCTAAGCAGACCTCACTATAAGGGCTCTGTTGCTGAGGGTAGATTTTTTAAAAATAGGTAAATGAACATTTATTTTTGGATAACAAGTTTGTCTGGAGGTGTGCTAATAACTGACTCGTTTTTCCTCAGATGAAGTGATTTCTTATCACCATGCCTGAATTCATCTCTACTTCACACTGACTGTGCTTCTGTTTCAGTCTCTCTTTGGCTCCATCATGACCTGGTTTCTGCCCAGGTTTATATAATTTGTTTTTATTCTACATCTATACAACATGCTGTCAAATGTTGAGGTAATCTATTGAGGGTAGATTTTTAAGATATATTTTTGTTGATAAAGTATTCTGAACATTATTGAGGAAAAGTGCTGTTGTAAGCTTTATAAAACTGTTTCATTAAAGGTTTAGATACCCCTTGTTCTGTTATGATGCAGGTTCTTTTGTACTTTGTTTGAGACAGAATCTCTTGTATCCCAGGTTCACTACGTAGCCAAAGATGATCTTGAACTTCTGATCCTCATGCCTCTGTATCGCAAGTGTGCCACCATGCCTGGGTTATGTAGTACTTGGGATCAATCCTAGGGTTTTGTTATGCTAAGCAAGCACTCTACACACTGAGCTACACCTCCCCGGCTCCTATTTTATATATTTTTTGAAATATGTGCTTCCCGAAAGTAGTAAAAGGCTGGTCATGATGTTCTTAAGCAATTAGTGTGTGAAGGGATTCATTCTCCATGAGATCCAGAAGCTGCTCTTCCTCCCATGACACTGACTCTCCAGTGTATCATTTCAGACACCCCACTCCACTTTTTGCCTCAGATGCCTACTAATGTCAGCTTTTTAGAAAAGCTTGAAACTTTTGATTGGGCAGACCAAAACTTAAGGTAGAAGCATATGTTGAAGAATCAGAATTGACCCCTATACATTGTCTGGCAATTTATTTTGCCATGCTCAAGAAGTCCTACAAGGGAGTGCAGAAGGCCCTGGGATGCAGAGGATGGTCAGGCCGGGCTCCATGAGAGAGGAGCCATTTCATGGATAGAGCAACATGCCTTGCCTTGGTCTCTCTGTGCCTGACAGAGAATAGATCTCCAATTGATATTTAAAGACTTTTTTGTTGGTTTATTTATTTTTATTTTATTTGTATGAGTGCTTTGCCTACACATATGTAAGTGTACCTGTTCATGGAATGCCCATGGAGGCCAGAAAAGGGCATCAGATCCCATGGAATTGGAGTTGTGGTCAGTCACTAGCCACCTTGTTGGTGCTGGGAACTGAACTCAGGTCCTTTAGAAGAACAGCAAATGCTCTTAACTCCTAAGCCATCTCTCCAGTCCTCCAATTGACAGACATTTTTTGATCAGGCTGGCTTCAATCTCACAAAGATCCTCCTGCTTCTGCCTCCCAAGTGATGGGATTAAAGGTGTGTGCCACCATGCCTGGCTCTTACCTTACTTTTTTAGATAGTCTCTCACTGAACCTGGAGCTCACCAATTAGTTTAGACTGGCTGACAGAAAGCCCCAGATGTTCTCCTATCTTGTCCCCAAAGCCCTGTGATTTCAGGCACATGCTACCAACTCTGGTTTTTTATTTGAGTGCTGGAGATCAGACTCACACTCTCCTGCTGGCACAGCAAGCACTGTATCAACTGAGCCATCTTCCTGTCCCTTCTCTTTGGTTCCTTTCCCTTGTTTTCAGAAGACAGCTAAAGGAAAGGCACTTCCCAAATGATGACCGGATGTGTCTTGATACTGAAGCCCCTTCAGCTTCCTCTGTGCAGAGGTGACAGACTGCCACATGGAGACAAACTGTTGGCATGAGCAGTCAGCAAGGTTACAAGCCCTTGGAGATGCACAAGGGTCTCTGGAAGGCTTTTCAGAGACTGCTTCCTAGACGTCAAGAGGTTCCTACATGGGAGCACCAGTTTTACTTATAGAATGCATGCCTTGGCCTGTGTGTGTATCCATAAACACCTCGTGTGGAGTGAATGTTCTTCATTTCAGTTTTAATCTTGGCATCTGTTTTTCAGAAACATTGTCCTGTTGTTACTTAAAGCATATGCCTAGGCTTGGAATGCAGGCTGCTGGGAAATGTTAAACAGAGAGAGCTTGTCAGCACTTACAGTCCATGTTAATCACCATAGTCACCTGTCTGCCTTGGCCTATTCCCCAGGTGCAGAACACTCACCTGTCTGCCTGTCCTAACTTGTGTCTGTCCATTTGAGATCACTGTTTTTTTTTTTTTAATGCCTTTTTAATTGAATTTTTGTAATTTTCATAACAATATAATTTGATGGTATTTAGATCCCCTCCTGCCCTTCCCTCTCTTCACCCCCCTCTTTTTCATCTCCCAGCCAATTCAATGTACTGTAATATATGTATATATAAAGGTCTATGGAGTCTAATTTGTGTCTCCAAATTAGACTCAGCATGGGTCCATCCACAGGAGCCTGGTTAACCTACCAAGAGCCCATATTTGAGAGAGACTATCTCTGCTCCTCCCAGCAGACATCTGTTGCCACAGTTTTCTTAGGTGGGGTTGGAGTTTCTTACTCCCTCATGTCTGTGCTGGGATTTTTTCTGGTTTGAGCTTGCATGGGACTTGTGCATGCTCTCACTGTTATTGTGAGTTCATATGAGTAACTTCCCAGTTGTCTGGAAAACTCTATTTCCTTGTGATCATCCACCCCTTCTGGCTCTTACAGTCTTTCTGCCCCCTCTTCTGCAATGATCCTCAGCCTTGGGATGCAGAAGTTTGATATAGGTGTCCTATTCAGAGATAAGCAGTCTGCAGCCTCTTGTTCTCTGCATGTTGCCCAGTTGCAGTTGTGGGTTTCTGTGTTAATCACCATCTGTTGCATAAGGAAACTCCTCTGGTGAGAGTTGAGAGATGCATATAATAGTAAGTCATTGGGTATAACAATCATTAGGAGTCAGTTTAATATGATAACTGTTTAGGAAACTAGTATTAGGTTCTCCCCTGTCCTGTGACCTGTCTAGCCTCAGGGTCCTAAGCTTTGTTGTCAGTGTAAGGTATGAGCATCATCCTAGGAAGCATACCTTAAATATAAGTAAAGAGTGGGTGGTTACCCCCATAATATTTGTGCCACCATTGCATTGGGAAATCATGTTTTTTAGCATGTAATTGGGGGCATCTGGTGAGGTGTAAACATTGCTGGTATTTGACAATATTCAAAACAGTTTTCATCTTAGAAAACGAATATTTTCTTTCATTTTCTTTCTTTCATCTTAGAAAATGAATATGAAAATGAATATATCTATATTCAAAGTTGCAAAAAAGGGAAGAAGGTTAGGCCATCGTCATCTGGAGGAAAGCGTTCAGAATTATACGTACTTGCCCCTGTCACCCTCCTCCCCAACTCATACTTGGAAAAAACTTTTCTAGGATAGAAGGAATTTTAGGTCTCCCCTTGCATTATGCAGCATAGTCCTTACCCCATGCTCCTTTGCTGCCTGTAGATTCATACCCAACTCCTACATTTTCTCGTTCTGCAATTCTTGCTGGTGTCTTTGCTGACTGTTTTCTCTACTCTCAGTAATACAGTGTTTCTATCTCAGCCATGCCTTTTGTGGGCAGTCTGTAGGAATTGATCTTACTGAAATCATCCATTTTTTAAATTCATTTTTCTTGTTTGCAAATTTAAACATTTACAAACTTTCTGCTCCAGCCCATGTGCTGTGTTACATGCAAGAAATAGAAGCAAGTTAGAATTAGTTTTGTTCTCAAGGTACCAGATGCTATATTGAAAACTTACTCTCTAGCATCTCCATGATGATATACCATGTTTGATTCAAGGAGTTTTTCCGGCCTTAAGAATAAAAGGAAGTTTTTGTGATTAGTAGCATTTGACTTAGAGTTCATGCAGTCTTTGGGAAGTTGGAATTGAGTCATTCACCATTGTGGTTGAGTGGCAGGTCAGGCATTGTAGAGATTCAGGTTCCCAGCATTTCACATGAGTGAGCACTCTCTAGCCTTTGGCAGTCTGCCACTTGCTGTGTTTGGTAGACAGGTTCATGGAATTTGACACTTTCATGTCTTTCCTTGAAAATCTTGCAGGTTTCAGCCATCCTTCAATGGCTGACCAATTTCTTTTTGAACATCTTTTGTCAGACACAAGTGTGAGGTTGCTGTGGACTAGTCAGGATGTACTTCAATGATGTCCCCCCCCACACCTCTTTCTGTTTTCTTTAATAACTACCAGCCTGATGTTCGAGCCACAATTTATGCTTTGGATACAGAATTGGGGCACTGCTTGTTGTGTTTATTATGCTGTACAGCCCTTAAAATGTGGACAAGCTTCTCCAAGCATTTGTTTTACCAACAAAACGCAGTAAAGTAGGACTTGGATAATTATCCCTTAAGTTGACTCATGTAAACAGAACCTTAGAGAACTTTCCTACTGAAAACATAATGAGCCCTTCTTCATGAAGTAGAAAGGATAGCTTGTGAGCGTATAGGAGCCCTTAGCGTGCTGCTTCGCTGTTACTGTCCTTTGGCATTCACCTCCATGCTTTGTCTTCCTTTGCTCCTGCTCATAGTGAATACGTATGATGGTTGAAAACATGACATATTGGTTGTCGAAGAGTTACCTGGTTGAAAATGCACTAGGTTTGGAGACAGAAAGTCCTACATTGAGCACTGTGGGAATGGCTCACTTGCCATGCAAATGTGAGGACCTGAGTTCGAATCCCCAGAACCCTCATAAAGCCAGGCATAATAGTGTACCTCTATCATCCCTCTGTTTCTACAGTGAGATGGGTGGTAAAGACAGGAGAATCCCTGGAAGTTTGCACATCAGCTAACCTGGCATCTGTGGGGGTAAACAACAAGAGATCCTCTCTCCAGCCAGGTGGAAGGTGAGAACCTACACCTGAGGTTGTCCTCTGACCTCTGTATGTGTTCTGTGGTACATGCACACACACACACACACACACGTATATATATGTATGTATATATGTATGTATATATATACGTACATACATGCACACAAATGTGCACACATGTACCTACACATGCACAAAGATCTTAAAACTGTAAAAATAATATTCTACATTGAAGCCCCAAGTCTTGCATGTACTAATTGTGTGACTCAGTTTAAGTTGCTCAACTTCCTAGTCTGAAAAGTGGGAATGATAAATGTGTGTCTCCACCCACACTACAGACCCTTTTTATGATGTGGATCAAATGAGAAACTGTATTGGACTTGCTGTGGAACTCCCATTCTTGCCAGGATGGATGAAGGGAACTAGCTCAGATTTCGGGAAAAGACTCCCTGTGTAAAGACAATTACTCAGACTTTCCCCTCTGTGGGTTCTGTGACCATGAACAGCTGCCTCTTAACCATCTCGGAAACAACTGGACCACTGTGGGGAGCTCTGTTTATCACAAAGTTCCTTTTTCATTAGGCTGAAACTTGTCACTGTAACTGCTAAAGCAGTTTTCGCTCTTTGGTTCAAGTTTTACAGAGTGACACGAAGCAGTCCAAAATGGGGTATTTCAAGACTTGGAAATTTGTAACTAAGAAAGGGTCTTACAACTCTGCTTCCTGTTTTTCACAGTCTAATTTAGTACATAAGTGCGGGTGCCTGTCACATGGGTGCTGTGCTCAGACACAAAAGGCAGTTATTGTTCCCCCTCCTTATGCCCGGAAGTGGAACAAGAGGCCGTGCAGCTGGGATGGTGATGAATGAAGTTCAAAATTTTTAACTCATTAATGTGTACGACCACAATTGTTTTAATTTATGATCTTTCTAGAAAAAACGGTGCCTACATTTAATGAGCTATAAATAGTTTAAATGGTCAGCCAGACTAATAATATACAAAAATTATGGTGAAACAATAGTAAATAATGAAGACAGGCATTTTCAATGTTTTATGAGCCTGTACATTTAACAGCCATTAAGTGGGAAGCCATACTTGCATGTGGGAAAATGTACAATGGTGACATGGCAATGTGTTAATAATACCTTGTGTGGACAAGCTAGGGGAGAGTTTAAAGTGTCTTCTCTGTGATTAAAGGTAGCCATACTCTCTACATGGAGGTGCATCTGATTTATAGAATCTAAGCCAAATGTCAGTCACTGGAGAGGTAACACTGGCTGTAGAGTTTAACGCCTTGCATTGTGTTTGACTCTTGTTACCTCCAGCAACATGACTCAAGGACTTGGAGGAGTCTGGACTCCTCTGAATTGCATTTGTCCTCAAATTTAAAATGATTCTCCCCTTGCCTGTACAGTAGTTGTTAGGATTAAGTGAATCTTAACAACTTCTGTTGAGTTATGTAGCTTTGGAAGGTTCTGTAAGTGCCACCCATTCCGCATCTTGAAGATGGAACACCTATCTCAGGGCTTTTGAGAGAAGTAAATGAATTCCCACATAGGACACAGAACAGTGCCTGGCGGTTCATGCTTAAAGGATTCATTAGCTTTTGAATTTTTGAGGGCTCCATGACCGTATATTTTCAATGTATTGTTTTTATAAGAACATATTTTTAGAGACTAAAAACAGCACCCTATTTACCAGCCAAACCCAGTAATAAAATCAATTGGCTTGACTAATCCTTCTGATCCTTTTTGATCCTTCACAAAATATGACTTTGTCAAGAAAGCTTAGTCATGATACTGAGGCCTTTTTTTGTCTTCAGAGCTTTGGGTTAAATGCATTTATTCAAGGAAATGCTCTGTACCATCTTCATGAGCTTAGAAAACTGTATGTGGCAATCAGTATACTACCTTGCCTTCTATTATTATTATTATTATTATTATTATTTGTTATCTTGAAATATTTGTCCTGAGCTTTGCTGGAATTTGAAAAATGTTATATTTGATTTTGAAATATATATATATATATATATAAATCCAAGTACTTCTGTATCTCATTTAGCTTTTAAGGAGTATGAAATATTGACTAAGGGCTCCATTTATAAAAGACCCATTCAAAGTAATTCTAGTGGTTTATTTCACAGAAGGCATATCCAGATAAACGTACTGATGATGACTTACCATGACTTCCCCTAAAGAGGTAAAATAAAGCTGTGGGGAATGCTTAGAATATAGCTTGCAATTAGTGTACAAAGAACCATCAAGTAAAGAAAATATAATAAGTCTTTAAAGCTGTTATATCTATGGACTCTACAAATGTAGGATTCTTTTCTGTATGATTTTATAATGTGAAATCCAGTGGTTATTGTGCAGTATCTTCAAATTCTTTCTTAGCTAAAATAATTTCTTTAGAGAAAGAGGTCTTTGCATTACCTGCTAGCTCTTTAGTCTCAAGAACAGTTTGGAATAACTCTCACTCTGCTGATAATAAACTACATCTGGATATAAGCATGGTTATTTATACCTCACTATTACATATTTTCATTGTCAACTTTAATTTGAAATCTTGATTATAGAATATGGGCATGTAGACGTCTTATTTCCCTGATTAGCAATAGGATTGAAGTTGTCAAATATTTTGTTTGATCTTCCTTATATGGAATCTAACACATTTCTTCACTCCCAATCATATTTTAATATTTCTTGAGCTCTAAACACCTTATTTTTAAAGATTTACTTTTATACAATTATAATTCTAAGTAGCACAAGTAGTTTATTTTTAACTGAAGAAATTACTTTTAAATACACAAAAAGAAGAAGCTAATGTTACAAGCTAGCCATTTTATTTTGCAGAGTTTTGGGTTAAGGAATGTTAGGTTTCTGTCTGGGGATGCAATGAATTGGCACAGAGTGGAAAAGGTGCCTTCAAGAGTCAGACCACATGTGACAGGGCATGATTCCTTAACCCTGGATCTGTGTGATGGCTAGGAAGGCTCTCTGCTTTAGCAACAAGCAACAGATTCCTCATTTGTTAGTGCATGTGATTGTCTGGGAAGGTTGTAATATGGTTAATGGTCCGAAAGGTTTAATTAAACTTCAATGTATGAGAACTATAATATTTTATTTTAAAAATTGTTCCATATATATTAATGCTTGTTCTGGTTTGTTTCTCCATTGCTGTGACAAAATACTCTTATCAATACCAACTTGGGGAGGAAAGGGTTTATTCAGCTTACATCTCCCTGGTCACAGTTCATCAGGGAGCCCAAGGTAGGAACTCAGGGCAGGAACGTGGAGGCAGGAGCTGGAGCACAGGCCATGGAGGAGTGCTGTTTACTGCCTTCCTACCCTGACCCCTGCTCCGCTTGCTTTCTTATGCAACACAGGCCCTCCTGCCCAGGGGTGGCACCACCCACAGTGGACTGGGCCCTCCCACATCACTCAATCAAGAAGATGACTCACAGACATGGCCACAGGCCAGTCCAATGGAGGTAATTCCTCAGTTGAGGCTCCCTCAACCCAGGGCTGTCAAGCTGATGTGAAAGCTATCCAGCACAATGCTTCAAAGCAATGCTGAATGGATGTTTTTTTGGGATTCTCTGCTTTATGAATGTATTCCTAGGCTTATAATTTCTAAAGGTTACCTAAAAGACATTGAAATGACCAAAAGGGATACCTGATCTCTGAGTCATTGAATAAATGCTTCCCAATGTTTTATTGTTGACATTTTAGTGCTCATTCCCCCAGTATTTTTTTTTTTTTTTTTTTTTTTTTTTGGGTCTTTTTGATACAGTGTTTCTCTGTAGCCCCAGCTGGCCTGGAACTAACTATGTAGACCAGGCTGGCCTTGAACACACACAGATCTGCCTGCCTCTGCCTCTCAAGTGCTGGGACTACAGGTATGTGCTATCACACCTGGCTTTCATTCCCTCAGTCTTTAATATCTTTGTGAATTTAGCTTTAATGTAAATTAGAGAACTTTTAGGATAGGTACCTCACGCACAGCTTCATATTTTATTCCTTAGATTATTTCTGGGCTTTCTTTTAAAGTTACACATAAAGTGGTCTTATATACATATGTATTTTGAAACTGACTCCCTTTTGAGGAGAAAGGATGTGATTAGGTGCATCATGGGCTGCACATTCCCCCTTGCCCCTCTCCACATGTGTGTTAGTGCATCACTGTTCCCTGGAGTGGCTATGCTCTAATGCAGGTTGCACTGTTGGTCAGTGTTTGAAGAAACATCATATATTTTAATGAAATAGAAAATTGCATGGTGAGTCTTTGTATTTTTAAAAAATTACTAATGATTTGTTCAATTTGTTCAGTTTGTCTCTTTAGGTGGCACTTTTTTGAAGTTCATTAGACTGCTTAACATTACTGCAGAAATAAATAGGTAAGTAAAGGAAATCAAATGTCTTTATTGTTTGGTTGTTGTTTGTTTTGTTTTTTGAGATGGGTCTTGTTATGTAGTCTAAGGTCTTGAAATTCAAAGCAATCCTCCTGCTTCAGCCTCCTGTGTGCTGGGATTACAGGGTGAGGGGGCCACTTTCCAGGGAAGAAGTATCTTTTAAAAAGGGATAGCTTTTTAAACTTTGGACCTTGCCTGGTAAGCACTAGTTTTCTAGGCCAGATACACAACTTGGGTGAGCATCCATCATTATTGTAAAGAATTCACAGAAGTTTCATAAATGGTATTGAATTTAATGCTCTAATTTCTGTGCTTCAAGTTAGACTTCCTTTGTTCTATCACTATTCAGGAACAAGTTAAGAGCTCTGTACTGTGGGAATAGAGGACTTCTAGTTGTCTGTCTTTTGGAGCCTAACAAATTTCAACATTTATTATCCTTCCTCTGAAAAAGAGGAAGTAGAAATGGCCAATTTAAATAACCCAGATTTATTACTTGATGATAGCTCACACAGAAGGATTGCCAGAATGAAAGTTGGAAACAGTTCACTCACAGGTGATTAATGATGGAGGAGATTTTAATTTATAAAGGTTGCCTTCAGAAAAATATTAGCAATAGAGGTTGAATAATCTCCTGCAATATGCATTCAAGAAAATCAAAGCAATGTGTAATCACTTCTAAAGATCCAGTTCTGTTTCTTGAAAGGGAGAGGCTTGTTCAATCCTCCAAGGGCCTTGTTATAATATTGGCTGCAAGTTTGTTTTTTAAAGTTTTCTGAGATGGGGTCTCCCTAAAGCCCCAGCTTGCCTGGAACTTGCTGTGTAGACCAGGCCGGCCTGTGAGATCCACCTGCCTCTGCCTCTCCAGTACCAGGATTAAAGGTATATGCCACCATACCCGGCTAGCAGTGAGTTTAAACCAAAGAAATCAGGACATGATCCAGAGATTCTGGACCAACTGATGACTCTCCAGGGATTTCTGCAATTCATTTGTAGAAAAGTCATTGTTTAGGTTTACAGATTTTGAGAAAAGAAAAATTATTCCTGCATTCCATTTTGGGCTACTGACTTCTTAAGTGTTAGTAGGTTCTAACAGCTAGTACTGTTTAGGAAACTTGGATTGTTTTTTAATGAGAATTGCAAACACTTGGGAGTTATGAAATGATTTGAGCAGTAAGTTCCCTCTCATGGGAAAACAGGGGCTGTCTTGAGATGGGTGGTGTCCTGGGCAGGGTGAATGTTTGCACCTTATCAAACTGCTAATCTTCAAATATCTCTTCCATATTTATTTAGTGGGGATAGGAGAAGCTGATTTACACACACACACACACACACACACACACACACACACACACACACACGTACACATGTCCTTTCCTATGTGTTGAAAATAAGGGACTTATTGCACATAAGTTTTTGAACTAGGTGTTCATAAACCTTGTTTAAAATTTGACTGGTGGTAATAGTCTGCCATGTATAGTTGAGGTGCCTGTCAACCAGGTGATGTGGGTTGGCAATGGGAGCTGTGTTTTCTCATGTCATTCCATGAGGAAGATATGCTCAACGGGGTAGGGGGCGGGTCTGTGCTGTGAAGAACCCATGTGTGTTTCTTCACCAAGGGGCATTGCCTGCTTGAGTTCCCAGGAAAAACAACCATACCAGGCTGTCTACCATGTCAGGAGTCATGTGAAAACCACTAAGTGTCCAACATTTCCCATTTATTCTGCTGGTGGTTCAGTCCCCCCACTGTGGGATGTCACCTTGGATCACTTGCTGGACTAGCTGGCCTGTTAAAAATGCTCTGGAGAAAAGCCAGTTCTATCCTGCAGTGCCTTCAGGAGCCAAGTCATGTTCTCCTTTGAAATCCCCCATGTGAACAGTTAGCCCTATAAAACCAGCCTTGTCTGTGTCTTTTATGTTAATTTTAGTTGTGAATTCATCTGAGACAAATATGTAAACTTGATCAGTCAGACAGACACAAGGACACCCATTCAGAATTAATGGCATCTGAATCAAAGAGAAATACAGTCCTACTTCCCATTGCCTACATTGTGTCTGTGAGGTAGTAGGGCTCTCTTGAGCAGAGAGAGTGATTTCAGTTTGAGGAGAGCCTGGACAACAGCCATCCTCAACAGACATACCCCTCTACTGGACACATGTGAGATGAGATCCCAGCTGCTGAGATCCTAGCTGCTGTGCCCCAAGGCAGGTTTCTGAACCCTCTTGAATTCCATCTCGTTAGTTATGGATGCTCTCTTTCTCACTGGTTGGAGAGACTGACCAAGGTGAAGAGGGAATCTGTGTGTTAGACAGTCAACCAGTGTCCCCCACGAGGCTCCTTGACAGGTACTGTGGAGAGTTGCCCAGATACAGGGTCTGAGAACTTATTTCACATTTCACCAGTTTCTCACCAAGCGTCTTTGAGAAAAATCTCACCTCCTGCACCTCCTTGGCAGAGTGACAGGGTGCCACCTGCTCTGTTCTGCTGCTTGTCCTGTGGGAACTGTGGGAAGGCTTTGAAAAGGTGAGTTTCAAGTATGTGGTTAGCTTAAGAGAACTTCTATTGGCAGGCTTTTTAAAAAACTAGTCAGACTTTCTGGGCTTGAATCCCTGCTTATAATTAGGTGTGTAACCATAACCAAGTTCTTGACACCATCTCTGCCTCTTACCTGTGTCATGGGATTCTAGGCAAGTTAATGATGTACTGTATGTAGAGTGGGATATAGGAAGCTAACAGCTAGTGAATATCAAGGACTATGCTCGTAAATATGTCAGGACACAAGAAAGGAGGTGGAGAATTGACTTAAAAATGTCCATAATTTAAAATCCCTTGAGTTTGAGTTTGAATTTGGGTGTTTGGAGCTGCCTTTGGTACCAGGTTATACTCATTTGGACTAGGGAAAATAATCTGGATAGACCAACAGTGACCACACAGGAGATGCTGTCTCTGGAGATGCTGCACTGGGAGTTAGTCTTCCTGAGTTTTCTTCCTGAACAGCACAGGGGGCAGGTCTCTTCCTACCTGGTGAGGTTTTTACTAGAACTGACGGAACCAGTGTAATTGCTCTGGCCCACGTAGTAACCACACTACACAATCATCTGCTAAGCCCTTGAATTATAGCCAGTGCCACTGAGGTGTTGAATTTTAAATTTTATTCAATTTTGGTTATTCAAACATTTAGAACTGGTTTGGGGGTATCATGTATTCTGTCATAAGCTCTGTGGATTTATATGTGCAACTGCCCTGTTGTATCTATAAATCACTTTTCTTGAATTCATCTACCATCTCTGGCTCTTATAGTCTTTCTGCCTCCTTCCTGTACTGCTGCAGGCAGATTTGGTTCCAGTTGATACTCTTGCTGTCAGTCATCTACATGGAGGCATGCCTATCATGGTTACCTACAAAGCTCTATACTTTGATGCACTTTAAAAATTGCTCTGTGAAAGGAAACTGTGTTAGTTACATTTGCATCATTGTAACCAAAATACTGACAGAAGCAACCCAAGGGAAGAAAGGTTTCTTCTGGTTCATAGTTTCAGAGAGATTAGAACCAAATTCAGAAGCTGGGAGACTAGGGAGGAAGATGTCAATGGAGAGGGAGAGGGACAGGAACAGGGATAAGAACCTGGAGAGAGAGAGGAACAGGGAGAGGGACAGGGAGGGTGCTGAGAGGGCGATCAGGGTAGGCAGAGCTGCAGCAAACTGATGAGCATAGGCTAGGGGCTCATCATGATTGGGGAAGACATGGCAGCGTTCATGGAAGTTTGAGGCACAGTGGGTTTTTCACATGATGGAAAAAAAGAAGCAGAGAAAGTGCACTGGAACCAGGGGTGGGTATAACCTTCAAAGGACCAACTCTATTTACCTGCTAGGCCTTACCTCTTAAGGGATCCATAACCTTCCAAATGCTGCTGCCAGCCAAGGACCAACTACTTACAACATGATGAGCCTTTAGGAGGCCATTTCAGATTCAGACCATAACAGAGGTGAACCAGATTGGGCTGAAGGAATATGCACTGGAACAGTGTAGAGATGTCCCCTCATCATGACAATAAAATATATGAATGATTTTATATGAAACCTGTTACCATTGCCAGATCCTTATTTTTGGCTGTGGATTGGAAAGACTCAGCATAGGGTGATGCATCTTTGTACTTTTAAATTAAGTATTCTTTTTCTTTAACAGAATCATTTTTCATACCAAATCACACCAATCCCTGTTCACCATGCCTCTGAACTTCCTAGATCCTGCCCCATAAATCCCCTCTCCATTCTGAGATTTTGTCATTACCTCCTAACTGAAACTGACTTCTTCTGAATTAAATATTGATCTCACCTGCATCTCCTTTTTAAACCCGTTCTATTACCACAGTGACGTTTTTGTCATCGTTTCCTCTCTTGGACTCCATGCAGGGTGAACCACTAGTCATACAGTGGTGCTATCCTTTCAGATGTACCTGGCTCAGCATTTCCTGAGACACAGGACAGCTACTCACCACATATCACAAGCAAGGGTGTCAGGTAGCCCATAAGGATGGGTTTGGCTTTAGTGTAGAGACAGAGGAAAACTCTTCAGGCTGATTGGCAGTATTAGATATGCTGGTAAGTTTACCTGATTTTGATCTAAGTTGTTTCATATACATAACCAGATCATGTCAGGCGCCGGACACTTCCAGCTGTTAACTTACAGCTCAGGTCATCTCGATCTTCTACATTAAATATCCAGTGTGACTTCTCTAAAAAAGCTGATCCCCCTGGTTGCTTTTCACATCATGTTTCTCTTTTTTTGCTTTATCCGTAGACTGTGTCACTGGCTCAGTTGGATGAAACCCAGTCTATTTTTTTCTTAATATATATGTCACATCAGAGTATTGGAGCGATATAGTGTAGAGGGGTGCTCCATTGGCTTCACAGGCGTATTGTCATTATTCAAAGTCAGAGTCACAACTCTGGGCCATTCACTCCCTACATCAAGTATATTGAAGTC